CCCTCCTCCATTCTTCTACCTCTTTTGTCTCACTCTTTTTTCCATTGTTTTTGGGTTTTTTCGATTTGGGTCCAGTAATGGCAGATGGTGATTGGGTTATGGTGGGGAAACCTAGAATGAAAGACTTGTAGAAACCGAGCTTGGTTGAAGAGGAGGCTTCAAGGCTTCTAGAAGTTAGGTTTAGTGGGCCAACCAAGCACTGGATTGATGTTATCCTCATTGGAAATGGCCGACTTGGTGCTATCCTTATTGGAAGGAGAAGGTGCACAGATCTAGCAACAGAGAAACACACACCATGTGAGCTTTGTAGTTTGCAATCATGATCGTCCAAGGATGGCAAACGAAAAAACGTCAATGACGTCGAACTGCATAACCCTTATCTTTGTTCTTTTTATTTTGATTTTCACTTTGATTTTGATTTTGATTTGTGATTAGTGATGTTGTTTGGTGGTGGATGGTGGTGGTGATGTTTAGCAGTGACAGTGGTGGAGTGGGTTGACGATAGATGGTGGAGGAGGAGGGGCACAGGTGGTGAGTGTTGCCAAGATGGAATGGCGAAGGGTTAGGATTGAAATGTCTGTTTTGCCCCTGCAAATTGACCACATGTTATGCACATGGACCAAAATGAAACGAAATTAAAAATAAAGAGTCAAAATCGAGCAAATTTAAAATACATGGACCAAAATGACACAAAAATTAAAATATAGGAACTATTAGTGTAATTTGCCGTTACATTTAAGTACGTGGAATCACAATGCGCCATGGAAGCGTTTGCATGAAAGTGATAATTTTCCTAATTTAAGACGCTATGACCAACAATTATCAGGACCACATATATTATTAAGGACTCGCTCAACCCAACCAACCAAGCAAGACGATAAGACATGTTGGTATTTTTTTTTCATAATAATATAAGAAAAATATATAAAATAAATAAATAGAAATGATAAAATAAATTTTTTTATTAAAGAATAAAATACAGAATAAACTACACAACTAAAAATATATAAATAAACTAGATTACATCATGAAACATATTACAATATGGATTTCCACGAACATATAAAATAATATGCAAGAAATAGTTCAAATCTAAAAGTTTGAAGAACAAAATATAAGAGATGCAAACCGAAACCTGTATAATACCATAGTTTCTTTAATACAGATTCACCGCCTTCCAATGAATGCTAAAGGTACACCGGCGTCTGTCTCTCAGGATACGACGGTCGAAACCAGCTAATGTAGAAACGCCTTTTGAATAGTTTTGACGAATTTGACAATGGCTATACTCTCTCTAACAAAAACCAAATAAGGGGCTAGCAAAAGAAGATAGGAAAAAAATTTCTTTGGTGGAAAAAAAAATCTCTAACTTTTTATCTCAAAATACCGTCTCTATTTTCCATCAGAAATGTTTAGTTCCATTGGAAATGAAATTGAATTAGTCTACTAAAAGTGAATCTTATGGTACACATCCCCCCAAGGGTGGGTACCATATGCATCCTATATCATAAATGATGTAATTTTATCACAAAATTTCATAATATCAACTATAAAATACATAATATCGTTACAAATTAAAATAAGAAAATGTCTAAAATTTTGTAATTTATGTAACAAAAATTTATAGTTTTGTTACGATATTTTTTGTTACGTAAATTTATGACAAAATTATGTATTTTGTAATTAATATTATGGAATTTTAAAATACCGTCTCTATTTTCCATCAAAAATGTTGAGTTCCATTGGAAATGAAATTGAATTAGTCTACTAAAAGTGAATCTTATGGTACACATCCCTCCAAGGGTGGGTACCATATGCATCCTATAGCTCTGTTTGGTAGAGCTGTGGGAAAGTGTTTATAGCTTATGCCTAAACAGCTTATAGCTTATAACTTTCAGCTTAAGCTGATTTTCAGCTTATTCTTAAAGCATCTCCTACCCCACTCAAAGAATAAGCTGATTTCTGACTTCCACAAAGCTATAAGCTATAAGTTATAAGCTAAACCAAACACATCAAAATAGCTTAAATTAAGCTGAAAGCTGAAATAAGCTGTAAATAATTTCTGCCAAACAGGCACAATATCATAAATGATGTAATTTTATCACAAAATTTCATAATATCAACTATAAATATCATAAATGATGTAATTTTATCACAAAATTTCATAATATCAACTATAAAATACATAATATCGTTACAAATTAAAATAAGAAAATGTCTAAAATTTTGTAATTTATGTAACAAAAATTTATAGTTTTGTTACGATATTTTTTGTTACGTAAATTTATGACAAAATTATGTATTTTGTAATTAATATTATGGAATTTTATGTTATGTTAATTTATGATAGAGTACAGGTACACACCCTTGGGGTGCGTGTGGCCATAAGATTTCCCCTACTAAAATAGCATGGTTTTTATCTGGTGTTAAGTTTGGCAGATGAAAATTTGATCCTTCTTAAAAATTTATACATAAATTATCACAAAAATAATATGATAATGTCATTTTTTAAAAAATAAAAACTATTCTCATCAATATTTTATTTTAAAATAAAGGATCCATATCGATTCATATATCATTCTTTATAAATCTTCTATTTGTATGGGTATATAAATATTACTATTTCATTTATCATTTTTAGTGGTGCACTTCTCGTCTCTTAAAAATTTATTTGGTGTCGTTGTAAACATCAATTTACACCAATATCACAAGCTTTGATTATTATTATTTTAAAATTTATTTATTTTATTTTTTTAACATCAACATATAGTACAAAACAACATGCATCAAGCACAGTAGGTGATATTCAACCCTAACGTGTTATGGGAAAAAATATTTAGGGTAATGGTGATACTATTTTATATGATATCATCAATTAATAAAAATTATAGATACATTAAGCGATCAATTTGTGTCTTTTACTATCTAATAATATTATATTTTTACAACAATATTTATTGAATAATAATACCGTTATATAATATTACTATTACATCTAGTAATTACTCATGTTATTGGAGAAAAACTTACTCACCATTAGTTTGTTTTTTCTAGCTAGACTCTTACCATTGGTGTTTACTAGATTATTATATTTGGGTGTAGCTAATAAGGTTCTTCGAAAAAGACAAAAAAGGAAAACTATACAATTCTTTATTAGTTTTAAAATGTATTTTTTATTTTTTTAGATTTTAGTTTTTTTTTTTAATTTTCACTATTTTTCAAGTAATTTTTTACGCAAATTTCAATATTAAATAATACCCGAAAACAGTCATTAGCATTTGAACTATATGTACCTTTCTATTAATATTATTTGATTTATTAATTTGATCCAACATATTTTCTTAATCTGGAATACATTACAAATTTGGAATCCGCTTAGAAAAATTTATTTTTTTGTAAAAATAATACAGAAAAATAAATAATTTTACTAGTAGTTTAATAATGTTCATAGATCTATTTGGAATAACTTATTGTAAACTAAAAAAATCTAATTAGATAGATAAAACTAAAAATACCTCTCTAGTTTTCAGAAAATCAATTTTTGTTTATTTATTTAAATTATTTGTATTTAATAAGATGTAAGGAAAAAATTCACTAAAATAGTCTGGTACATATTCTTAAAAATTAAAAAGAAGAAGTTATAAGCAGCTTAATAACTGCACCAAACAATCCAACAATGTATGAAGTTTAAATTAAAAATTAATTGAAAAAAAAAATCATAGTTTCACCCTTGTAATAAAATAAAATTTTATTTCGTCAATTTAAATAGTAATCAATTTAAATCTTTAATTTTATCAATTTAAACTGTAATCTATTGATTTATTTTTAATTTAAACCATTTGTCTGTTTCAGTTACGCAAAACTGACGGAAAAATAATTTTTTTGGTTATTGAAATCAATGTACATGTATATAAATTTTTTATTAAATTTAATGACTAAAATATTTTTTTCTATCCATTTTAGTTAATGAAAATAAGCAGATGATTTATATTGATAACAAATCAAAAGAATATTGTTTAAATCACTACAACATATAAAAGTTTTAGAAACTAAATATTTTGATCTCTAAAAGTAAAAATTTTGTTGTAAAAGACATTTAGGCACAAATTTTCATCGTCATGAGGATAGTCGCTAAAAAATCAACCCGAAAAGTCAAAAACAAGGCTTTTAGCGACAAAATTTTGAAAATGTCACTAATAAATGATTTTTAAGGACGAAATAATTTGATCTCAAAATGATTTTTTTTTAGACAAAAAATTTGGTTCCAAAAGGATAATAATTCATCACTAATGTCCAATTTTTGTTACTAAAAATATAATAACGGCACTTTTCGTAACAAAATTATTTGGTCCCTAAAAAGTAATTATATCCTTAAATTTTGATCTCTAAAACCTTAATTTTTTACAGTGAATTGACAAAATTTAAATTATGTTTTTGTTACAACTGTCAAACTCTTATTATTGTTATTATTATTTTTTGTAATTTTCCTCAACTAATTTCAGTCTTCTTTTTTTATCAGCCGTCCTATTCTTAGGGGTTGTTTGTTTGGGATGACCTAAATAAGTGTACTTTTTGTCTTGTTACGAAAAGATGTGCAGAGAAATAGAGAGGTGATGTGATGAAAAAAAGATAAAAAGATAAAAAGATAAATTATTTTGTAGTAGCCAAACCTAACTTTAATTTATTCTTTAAAAGTTAAATGTGACAGTTGTCCAGAAAATAACAATAATAAGATAACGCTCTCTCTCTCTCTCTTTTTAATTATTTTTTTAATATTTAAATAAGTGGAATCACAATGTGCCATGTAGGTCCGCGGCCTGAGAGCAACATGACAAGTTGGGATACAATGACCACCAATATGATCGGGACCACATATATTACGTGGCTCAATCAGCCCAACCACGCACTCGAGACAATCTTTATGTGCTGGGCTGTCCTTTAATGAACGCCATGTCGCTATCTTCGTTCCGATTTTAAATACAGAATTAGGTTTGGCCATCATGGTCTATTATATATGTCAGTAACTTTTAACTTCAAAGCAATTCAGTAGCAGGAAGGAAGAAGACAGACAAACATGGCTCAACCAGAGATCACCGGTGGCGAGAGGTGGTCTGTCAAGGGAATGACTGCCCTGGTCACTGGTGGTACTCGCGGCATAGGGTTGGCGATTTCAAATTTCTTTTGTTTTAATTTGATACTAAAATTTTCATAGGGTGATCCTAGTTTTTTTTAGATCTAGTGATATGGCAGTCGATTAGAATATCTAAGGAACTCTTTCTTTTATATATTCTTTAATCATTAGTCCATTATCTCTTTTACATATTACCGGGTCTAGAAAATGAGTTTAAAAAGAAAATTTCTATATAATTTTCTATTTTGATATTTCTAACATGGTTATTAGAATGATATTAGAGTTAAAACAAACCAAGTTTTATGTGGTTTGTTTCTCCTGTCATCCTATTCATCTTTATATCTCAATACATATACTATCGGATTGCATTTACTTCTTGAAAGTGCCGTAAGCTTGTCTTACATCGATTTCTTTTAAGAAAAAACTAAACCTCCAATCTAGAAAATGAATTGGACTGTAATATTCCAATCCTATAAGGTTTATTGTGAATTTTTTTTTAATGATCTAAATAGTTTATTTTAAAAAAATTTAAGTATAGATAATCTATATATATAAAAAAATAAAATAAAATAAAATAAAATAAAGATTACTTTGACTATCATAAACGCTTGATTTTATTAGATTTATCTTTCAAAATCATGTTCATTTATTTAAAAACAGATATGATAAAATTATGTGCTTAGATTTATGTATTCAAGAGAAATTTCCTTTGAATAAGGTTGGATACCTCCAAAATTGATTTACTTTATTTTCTTTTTCCTTTTCCTTTTCTTTGTATAGGCATGCCATAGTAGAAGAACTAGCACAATTTGGCGCAGCTGTTCATACATGTGCACGTAAACAGGCCGAGCTAGATGAATGCTTACTAAAATGGAAAGGCAAGGGCTTTAAGGTTACAGGATCTGTATGTGATGTGTTATCGCGATCCCAACGTGAGAATCTGATGGAAAATGTCTCCTCCATCTTTGCCGGAAAGCTTAACATCCTTGTAAGTAGAAGATTAATTGGTTTGCTCGGATTAAGAGAAAATTTGGCATTGAACCCAATATTTCGATTTTGTTAGTTGACAATTCAAGCCAATCACACAGTGCCGTTGAATTTTTTTCAACTTTTCGATTTCAGTGTAATTGAGGGATTTATCGGACACCATTAAAAGGATTATAAACTTGTAAAATCTCGTATCGAAAATAAATGGAGAGAGTCGGGTTTTCATCTGCCAATGCATCATTTTTCAACTTTTATTGTAACACATGTTATATTGGTCACTTATCTTCTCATAATAATGCTCAAATAAATAAATAAATAAAACTTATAAATATAATATTTTGGTTGTTGTCCTTCTAAAAACCAACCGGAAATTTAAATTTTGACGGGCCGTTCCACCAGATTTTCCTAGATATTAGTTTTTCTATGGTGTTAATTTGTTTTATTTGCCCACCCATTACAATTTTGAAAATAAATAAATATATTAACCTAATTATTTTTTTATTTTTGTTTTCTATATATATTGTGGGGATGTATTTTCTGAATACCAACACGTGGCATGGTGACGCCGACGTGTCAGCCGAGGTGCTACGTGTCATGGTAGTTATGCCGAGGTTATCTTTGGCGAAACCGAGGTGATCTCCGAAGATATCGGAATCCGAGATAAGCGGATAAGGGACAAGAGTCCTAGAGTAAAGAGAAGACTTAGCCAAGATAAGGATAAAGCTCTTAGGGAGTTTATCTTTATCTCTTGAAGAGTCCAAAGTAAGTATTGAATTGGAGTCATAGAAGTCAGGCTTTTAGTGAGATTAGGATTGAGTTGGCTATAAAAGAGAGGCACCCCCGTGGGTCTAAGGTACGCAATTTATCTTTTGAGCAATAAGTTTAGCACTTGATTATCTTTGAGAGATATACTGACTTGATCGTCGGAGTGCCCCCGGGTGGAAGAACCACCGCCGGAACCTTTTCTTTCTATTACAGGTTTGCTGAAGCCATCTATTCTGCCTGTGCTCTCCAACTGATTACTAGGCGGGCAGTGTGGTCAGAAAATTACCCACACAATTTGGCGTCGTCTGTGGGAATATTAGAAGAATAGATGGCCAGTGACGAACAGAGGGAAAACATTGGGGGCGACACTCTTGTTAGGAGTAGCAGACCAATTGATCTTGACGTTGAAGGAAACAACCACAACACACAAACTCATGGCTAGGGCCACAGAGAGAAAGACGTCGGCTAGGAGAACGACACTTCAGACCAAAGCAAGTACTATAACGAAGATAACCTTCAGGTATGGAGGGATAGGTGCCTACGGAGGGATGATGAAGTAAAAGACTTGGCAAACAAGTTGGCGGACCTACAGTCGGTCGTCAACTTCATGATGCAAAATAATGTCATGCAGCCACCATACCCGCTGCAGGGCACACCGATGCTAGCAACCAATGCCCAGAAGGAAGGAAGAAGAACAATCCCCGAAGCCCCTCAGCACACCAGGAGTGGAAGGCACTCTCACTGACCTTCCAGGGAAGTCGGACGAGAGGAGCCGAGGCAAGAAAAGTCCCGAAGGACACATCGCATGAAGGATCCAGGGCCCAAAGAACATCGACATATTCAAGGGCAAGCACTCTGCTTTGACACAACCCATGGAGAAAGATCGAAACGGGCCCACCACGAGGCCGAAAGTAGTGTGCCAAAAAGATTAAAGTCCAGAGACAGCCGAGCTCCAGGTAGGAGTAAAGAAGACTTGAGGGATTACCTCAAAAGGAGGCAGCAGAATGTTGAAGCCGAGGTGACTTCCCCAGTTAAGCCGAGAACACCGTTCTCGGTGGAACTGGACAAATTTGAAGCACCAAAGAGATTCAGTATGCCAAGGTTCCAAATTTATGATGGTAAGTCAGATCCCAACTTTCATGTTGGACTATACCTGAACTCAATGGCATTATACAGTGGGAACGAGCCATTGCTCTGCAAAGTATTCCCCTCATCCTTTGGGAATTGCATCTTGATTGGTTCCATAAACTACCGAAGGGAAGCGTAAAGACATGGAAGTGCCTGGCCGAGATGTTTGTGGCCAGGTTGTAAACGAAAAACTACAGCCCTTGAGGGTCGACGCCCTGTATGGTTTAAGAATCACCAAGGAAGAAGGCCCTTAAGGGCCTATGCGAAGAGGTACTACGAGGTGTATTCAATCCGAATACCCGAATGCAACCAAGAAGTGGCGGTCGTGTCTTTCAAGAACGGCCTGAAAGATGACTGCCCACTATGGAAGTCTTTGGCAAAAACACTGCCAAAAAGCATGGAAGAACTCATGGCAAGAATCGAGAAGTACGCCAGAGCCGAGGAAGATACATCGGGAAACAAAGAGATGAAGCAGGAGAAGGGAAACGGCTCGCTGAAGCGAGGCCGAGGTACCAACGGGCCGACCAAACAAGAAACAGAATTGAAGGGTAAACAGGCAGTGACGACGATGTTCAGAATCCCTATCCATAAAGTCCTGGATCAAATACGAAATCAACCCTATTTCAGGGCACCGGCAAGAGCACCAGGGGAATTTATTGGAAGAAACGTTGGTAGGCGCTGTACTTACCACAATGAAGAAGGACACCCAACTCAGGGTTGCAGAGCCTTAAAAGCACACTTAGAAGGCCTAGAAAGGCAAGGCCATCTGAGGGACCTTGTTGATGAGGCCAGGACAAGAGAAGAACAGGCAAGATTGCCTCAAGCACCTGCAGCTCCGCCTCCCCCAGCACAACAACCACAGGCAGGAGGACCACGGGTGGTTGATGCCATTCACTCAAAGGTGAACGAAAACAACATTCGGGGAGAAACCCAAAGAGTAAAACACCTGCAGCACGTGAACCAGGTCGGACACAAAAGACCTCGGCCTGAAGAATGCCAAGGACCGATGATAACTTTCACTGAAGCCGACCTAGAGATGGTCCAGCATCCGCATAATGATGCCTTGGTAGTATCCCTCCAAGTTGGGGAGTGCCAAGTAAAACGCATCCTAATAGATCAAGGCAGCTCTTGTGACATCATGTACGTCAGATGTTACAAGGAGCTGGGCCTTCATCTTGACGACCTGGAACAATCCAGCAACCCTATGGCCGGCTTCAATGGAACGCCGACATGGCCACTGGGCGCAGCAAGCGTGGAAGTACAAGCTGGTACTAAGAACATCAAGACAGAATTTATGGTAATTGACACACCCTCGCCATATAACATAATCCTGGGAAGGCCATGGTTGCATACAATGGGGGCAGTTCCCTCAACGTTGCATTAACTATTGTAGTTCCCAACAAAACATGGGATTGAAGAAGTCAGAGGGGATCAACTGCAGGCAAAAAATTGCTCCTTGATAGCAATGAAGTCTACCTGCTACGTGCGAGAGCCAAAGAAGGCAGAAATTGAAGATGAGGACGTGGAAGTCCTAGAAGACGTCGGCAAAGAACCAGCCGAGAAGAGCGAAGAGCCACTAAAGAAAATCCTCGTCCAGGATGGGGATGAAGAATGGTTCTTTCTTCTCGGCTCAGGCTTAGCCGAAGAAGAGGAGAAAGAGTTGGAAACTTTTCTAAGAACCAACATTAAGGTTTTCGCCTGGACACCTTACGAAATGCCTGGCATTAACCCTGAGGTCACTTGCCACAAACTAAATGTCGACAGATCGGCAAAACCTGTGATTCAACGAGCCAGAAGACCGACGTAGATGCATGTCGAAGCAGTAGAGGAAGAAGTAGATAGACTTCTGGAGGCCAGGGTCATCCGAGAAGTTCACTAGCGAACATGGCTGTCTAACACAGTAGTGGTGAAGAAGAAGAACGACAAATGGAGGGTTTGTGTAGACTTTACCAGCCTCAACAAAGCCTGCCCCAAAGACAGCTTTCCTCTGCCCAAGATTGACCAGCTCGTAGATGCTACTTCAGGGCATGAAAGGATGAGTTTTCTGGATACATACAGGGGTACCACCAGATTGCCATGCACCCTCCAGACGAGGAGAAGACCGCGTTCATCACCCCTAAAGGCCTGTACTGTTACAAGGTAATGCCTTTTGGGTTGAAAAACGCAGGACCAACTTACCAAAGGTTAGTAACAAAGATGTTCAAGCACCTGATTGGCAAAACGGTAGAAGTCTACATCGATGACATGGTCGTGAAGACCAAGGAATCTAAGGGTCATCTTGCTGACCTAAAAGAGGTCTTTGATATACTCAAAACATACCGGCTCCAACTCAACGCATCAAAGTGCGCGTTTGGAGTTGGATCAGGTAAGTTTTTAGGGTATCTGGTAACAAGAAAGGGCATTGAGGCCAGTCCAGACCAAATCATGGCCATCTTAGAGCTGCAGAGCCCGACGTCAGCAAAACAGGTTCAGATGCTTACTGGAAGGGCCGCAGCCCTAAACAGATTCATCAGCAGAAGCTCAGATAAGTGCAGACCCTTCTTTAACTTGGTGAAAAGAGCCACAGACTTTCTGTGGACAGAAGAATGCGCAGCCGCTTTGACTGACCTGAAGAAGTACTTGACCACAACTCCGGTTCTTTCTAATCCAGAACCAAGGGAAAAACTATTTTTGTACATGGCAGTTTCAGAACACGCAGTCAGTGGAGTACTAATCCGAGAAGAAAAAGGGGAGCAAAAGGCTGTTTACTATGTAAGCAAAACCTTGGCCGATGCAGAAACAAGGTATCTACCACTGGAGAAATTAATGCTAGCCTTAGTGATGGCTTCAAAGAAGTTGAACCATTACTTTCAGGCGCACAAGATTGTGGTCCTAACAGAGCACCCACTGAAGTCCTTACTGTAACAAAGAGACTTAACAGGGAGAATAGCAAAATGGGCAGTTGCCTTGGGGCAGTATGACCTGGAGTTCAGACCCAGAACAGCAATAAATGGCCAAGTTTTGGCCGACTTCGTGGCAGAATTCATGCCCGAAACCATCGAACGTCGGGCTCCGTTGAGCCAGGATGAGCATTGACCCAGCAAGCAAGGAGAATCCCAGCCAAAGGCAAAAGAGCAAAGGAAGGAAAAACTCAGACCCTGCAGCATCTACATCGGCGACTCCTTCAGACTATTTGTCGATGGAAGCTCAAACCGACAAGGAGCAGGGGCAAGAGTACTGCTGATATCTCCAGATGGAGAAATAATAGAACAGTCCATCTGTTTAGGGTTCAAGGCCTCAAACAATGAAGCGGAATACGAAGCATTAATTGCAGGGCTAAAATTGGCAGCAGCAGCAGAAACAGATGAGGTAATTGTTTTTTGTGATTCACAACTTATTGTTAACCAGTCAATAGGAGAATTTGCAGCCAGGGACGAAAGGATGTCGACATATGCAAAAGAGGTCATCAGATTGGCAGCCCTATTTCAGAACTGCCGACTACTCCAAGTTAGCCGAGATGACAACACCCACGCCGACGCGTTGGCTAACCTGGCAAGTTCAATGCAGACTGGAAAAACAAGGACAATTATGATCGACTATATGTCGGGCCCGAGCATAGAACCACAGAGCACAGAGCAAGAAGCAATGTGCGTGGACTTGGGACCAAACTGGATGGATGCAATCGTTGCATTCCTAAAAGAGGGAAAGCTGCCAGAAGACCATAAGGAAGCACATAAAATCAGATTGAAGTCGGCCAGATTCAGTCTGACAGCAGAGGGCCATCTCTACAGAAGGTCTTTCACTGGACCCCTTTTAAGGTGCGTACACCCTTTGCAAGTTGAAGATTTTCTATACGAGATTCATGAAGCGATTTGTGGAAGCCACGCTGGGGGCAGATCATTAGCTCACAGGGCCATTACCCAGGGGTATTGGTGGCCCTACATACAGAAGGATGCTGAAGCATACGTAAAGAAGTGTGAACAATGCCAAAGGTTTGCACCTTTGATACATCAGCCAGCTGCTGACCTGAACCCAGTATCCAGCCCTTGGCCGTTTGCCCAATGGGGCATAGATCTTATTGGGCAACTTCCCCAGGCAACTGGGCAGAGAAAATACTTGCTGGTGGCAACAAATTACTTTACGAAGTGGATAGAGGCAGAACCTCTTGCCAAAATCTGAGATGTGGACGTTAAGAACTTTATATGGAGAAACATCATCACCAGATTTTGGATTCCAAGAGCAATAGTTGTCGACAACGGAACACAGTTTGATAGTAAACTCATCAATAACTTTTGGGCGAAATTCAAGATCAAGAATTACTTTTCAACACCAAGTTTTCCCCAAAGCAATGGGCAAGCAGAAGCATCCAACAAAGTAATTTTGGATGGAATAAAGAAGAGGCTGCAAGCAGCAAAAAGAAAGTGAGTAGATGAGTTGCCCAACGTACTTTGGGCATATCGAACTACGCCGAGAAGATCAACAGGGGAATCCCCTTTTGCCATGGCTTATGGCACAGAAGCAGTCATCCCATTGGAGATCGGCATCCCAGGGATCAGAACCCAGGGAGTAGAGAATGGCACCAATAACATAGTCTTAGCCCGAGATCTGGATCTTTTGGAAGAACGAAGAGAGAAAGCTGCAATACAGCTCGCAGTATACCAGCAACAGCTTGCTAGAGCTTACAACAAGAAGGTCAATCCAAGAGATTTTCAAGTCGGCTTAAGCTGATTCCTTATCTTCACTTGTTGAAATTTGTAGCAATTTACAAGTTGGAGTTAAGCTGATTCCTTATCTTCACTTGTTGAAATTTGTAGCAATTTACAAGTTGGAGTTAAGCTGATTCCTTATCTTCACTTGTTGAAATTTGTAGCAATTTACAAGTTGGAGTTAAGCTGATTCCTTATCTTCACTTGTTGAAATTTGTAGCAATTTACAAGTTGGAGTTAAGCTGATTCCTTATCTTCACTTGTTGAAATTTGTAGCAATTTACAAGTTGGAGTTAAGCTGATTCCTTATCTTCACTTGTTGAAATTTGTAGCAATTTACAAGTTGGAGTTAAGCTGATTCCTTATCTTCACTTGTTGAAATTTGTAGCAATTTACAAGTTGGAGTTAAGCTGATTCCTTATCTTCACTTGTTGAAATTTGTAGCAATTTACAAGTTGGAGTTAAGCTGATTCCTTATCTTCACTTGTTGAAATTTGTAGCAATTTACAAGTTGGAGTTAAGCTGATTCCTTATCTTCACTTGTTGAAATTTGTAGCAATTTACAAGTTGGAGTTAAGCTGATTCCTTATCTTCACTTGTTGAAATTTGTAGCAATTTACAAGTTGGAGTTAAGCTGATTCCTTATCTTCACTTGTTGAAATTTGTAGCAATTTACAAGTTGGAGTTAAGCTGATTCCTTATCTTCACTTGTTGAAATTTGTAGCAATTTACAAGTTGGAGTTAAGCTGATTCCTTATCTTCACTTGTTGAAATTTGTAGCAATTTACAAGTTGGAGTTAAGCTGATTCCTTATTAACACTTGTTGAAATTTGTAGCAATTTACAAGATGACGTTAAGCCGACATATGATCATCCGTTGAAATTTGCAGCAATTTACAAGTTGATTAAAAAGCTAAGTATATTGTTTAAACACTTGTTGAAATTTGTAGCAATTTACAAGTAGATCATTGCTTAAACACTTGTTATAACTTGAGAAAAGTTTACAGTATGTGATAACACTTGTTGAAATTTATAGCAATTTACAAGTAGTTTAGACTAAGATCACTGTCTAAACACTTGATTGAAACATTGAGAAACATTCGCAAAGTTGACATTGAATAGCATATGTTTTACACTTGTTGAAATTTATGAAAAGTTTGCAGGTCAGTATCTTGCCGAAGTAAAGCTTGTAGTTATTATACCCGAGATATGTGACCCCGAGAAGATTGCACAAAGGTGGCAAGATATGAAAATATTCTAAGTATAAAACCATGAAGCAAATCAAGAGAAATTAAAAGATTGAAGCATCCATAGAAAAACAGTTGCAGTTGTATACAAAAGAAGGCACTACGGCCTACCAGAAGTAAATTGTTTCGAAGTAACAAAGAAAGGGACATCGGCCATAAAAGGAAGCTTATATTGTCCAGAAAACAAAACAAAGTACAAGGGTGCAAAAGAAAAGACATGAAAGTTAAGACTTTTCAACATCAGCATCTAGCTGGATCTCAACCTCAGAAGTCTCCTGAAGAGATACCTCGGCTTCCTTATCTGCAGCAATTTCGGCATCAATCTAAGCAAGGGTTTCGTCAATACTCTTGTTGACCTGAGGAACGTCGGACGAACCTTGCTCCGGGGTAGCTTCCTTGGCAACTGCATCATTATCATCATCTTGAGTCAGGTCCAAGACCTGCTCATTCAGAGAAGGAGACTTAGCCCCAACGGCCTCCCTGGATTTCCTTACCAAAACTTCAGCCTCATCCTTGTCCTCACCTTCATCTTTATCCTCAGATTCCGAAGCATCCTCAGGTTGACTTGGAGGTGGAGGTGGTGGGAAGGGAAGAGGGATAGCATCGACATTGCGGAAGGGTGAATCGGCAGGAAGATCAAGTTTCTTTATCAAGGACATCCAACCAAGGGAGAAGCCCCTGTTGCATGCCTGCCTGACCTGAAGTTTGTATTCTTCAGTAACGTCAGCCATACCCTGGGCGTATGCCTTTTCGTCGGCTTCCTTAATTTCAGCATCCTTGGTGGCCAGGGCCTCCTGCAGTTCCTTTTCAGCTTGGGCCTTTCTGTCCTCGGCCTCTATCTTCTCTGCTTCAGCGACCTTCCTTATAGCCTCGGCTAATTCAGCTTTTTCCTCGGCTATCTGTTGGGCCTTAGTTGCAGCCTCGGCCTAGTCTTCCAGCTTCTTCATTTTTAGTTGAAGACCTTTGTTGGTCTTCTGCAGGGCAGAAAACTCCTTCTTCATCTCGGTCATCCTTTCCCGGTTCTTAAAAGATTGCACTGAAAACGAATGAGCATGCTGGATGGCCTAAAAAAAAAAAACAGAAGTGTTAGAAAATATTTTAAGTATGAAACAGAAAGAAAGTCAAAAAGCAAGAACACCTACTTGAACTGAGTGCTGGAGCATTAAGGCGTAGTTCTCATACTCACTCATCTTGGCATTCCGCTCAAGATCGCCTGGGAGGAGTAGAGCAGTACTGAGTGCCACGCCGACATTTATATCATTGGCGCTGTCGCTGGCAAGGACAGGCTTATCTTCTAGAGTAATCTCAGGTGTCCAGGGGACTTTTGGTATTCTGGAACCCGAGGTCGTCGCAGACGATGACCTCAGCTTCTTTGATTGTGTGGACTCAGAGGGTTGGGTTTCAGCAGACCATTTTGCAGGAGCAGAAGAAGTCTTCTTACTCCCAGCCAATTGTGAAACTGGCAGAGTATCTTTAGTCTCAACTACAGTGGCTTTAGCCTTGGGCTGAGCCTTTTTTATTCTTTTTGGCTTTGGTGGGGGCATGGATTGAGTTGGAACAGCATCAACGTCAGCAGGTAGGTCGGCTAAGAGATCAACAGCAACAGGCTTCGCGCGACCCATCTCAGCAGTCTTGACAAGTCGTTGCCGACGTTTTCTTTCTGGTATTGGGATTAAGTATGGGGCTGAAGTAGATGGCAGATCAGCTGGGTCAGAAGTGGATCCTTGGTCTGCTCGTGATGTAGAAGCAGTGGGATGAGTTGTGGCAGAAGGTGGAGAAAGACTCTTCTTCTTCTTCTTCGGGACGTCGGGCATAGTGGATTTGTACGTAGGAATAAAGTTTAGAAGAAGAGGTGCTTTTGTTTTGTGGATAGGCAAGTCCAGGAGCTTTTTCAGGTCCTTGCTAGGAACGTAAGATTGGCGAAAGTCTTTCACTGGCTTGCGAACGTCTGCAAAAAGAAACAAATAAAATATTGAAGACTTAAACAACAACAACTAAAATATTGACGCTAGACTCTTACCCTTGCCCTCTTTAACTGATCGGGGAAGAGGGTAGAGATGGGCGTCCTCGTCTGCGCCAAACTCCCAATTGCCCGAAGCAATAATATAGTCATCTCTAGCCCCCTTGTTGGAGTCTGGGAGGTCGGCTACGATTTTGTATTCTGTCGACCTCGGCTTAAGATAATAAACGAAGCCTTTTTCCTTCAGGTTAATGGGGCACATGGTATAACAGTACTGAATGTCGGCCAGGGTGATCCTAGCGTTCTCCTGCCTAGCTAAAGCTATGATGCCATTGATCACTCAATAAGAGTTTATGACAAGTGGCATAGGGTTCAACTTGTAAAAGTGAAGAATTTCGTGAAAGAGAATGTTAAGTGGGAGCCGGAGTCCGCACTCAGTAAAAGCTACTATGGGAAAGGGCATTGAATCATCTGTGGGCATGATGGAGTCGTTATCTAGAGCCAACCTTAGATGGACATCGGCAGGAATAGAGAACTTTTGCCTAAAGTACTCAAGTTTGGTTGGGGTGTCTACCCTATGTCTCCACATACCCATGACGTCAGCCTAAAATCATAAGGCTAGGTTTCAGAAAGAAGATGCTCTTAAGGGGTTATCAGGACCTCGGCAAAACCCTAGGTATATACTGGTAAGGATTGTTTCAGTTTTTTCCTAAGAATTGATAGGTTCTATAGACAAATCCCAAACCTAAATCTATAAAGGCAAAGATTGAAACCAAAAAATCAAAGGCAGCGATCTGGCAAAGACACAAAAAACAGAAAACAAATGCGAAATTTCAGAAACAAGAACATGGATGGGCTATCAAGAACATGAAGTATACAAGAAATAAAGGACCAAGATCAGTAGCAAAAATACAGTGGAGTAGTGCAATGGTGCGTGTGTTCAAGATATAGGCAAGGGCCAAATCAAGGAGTAAACACATTCAAGTGTATGATTCACAAAATAGATATTTGAACAAGGCAGTAATAACAGGAGATTCCAGAAATGATCGAAAATTGAAATCAGAAGGAACAGTTGCTTACCGAAAAGAATGAAGCCGATGTGAAAACTGCCGAAGTCAGTCGGTAGTTACAGATGTGGCAGAACAACGAAAGTTCCACCAGGAAGACAGATACAGAGCTTGGAGCTTCAGCAATGGCGGACTCGAGATAAAAAGTTTTAGAGAGAGAAAAAAGAAAAAGAACTTAGATGTAAAAGTGAACAGACGAAAGCAAAAGATAGTATCATTGTTGAAAATGTAAAACGGCGGCAAAATAAGGCAATTATTGTGCCTGGAAAATCGCATGCGTCAGACGGCGCAGACAGATTAAGATGGCTAATAAGCGTGTCACAGGCATGGAGCAATAAGGTAGAGACGCGTAAGTAAAATGGTTGAGAAGTAATGCATGACAGCTCATGCGCGTGGGAAAGTTCATTCGAGTTCTTGATTCTTGAAAACAAGACATATCGGCTTGACAATCTCGGCCGAAGAGTTCTTACGCCGAGGTAATAGAAGAAAATACAGATATAGGTTCCATCACCTCAGAATGCCGACGTAATAGACCAGAACCTAGGGGGCAGTTGTGGGGATGTATTTTCTGAATACCAACACGTGGCATGGTGATGCCGACGTGTCAGCCGAGGTGCCACGTGTCGTGGTAGTTATGTCGAGGTTATCTTCGGCGAAACCGAGGTGATCTCCGAAGATATCGGAATCCGAGATAAGCGGATAAGGGACAAGAGTCCTAGAGTAAAGAGAAGACTTAGCCAAGACAAGGATAAAGCTCTTAGGGAGTTTATCTTTATCTCTTGAAGAGTCCAAAGTAAGTATTGAATTGGAGTCCATAGAAGTCAGGCTTCTAGTGAGACTAGGATTGAGTTGGCTATAAAAGAGAGGCACCCCCGTGGGTCTAAGGTACACAATCTAGGATTGACTTGATCGTCGGAGTGCCCCCGGGTAGAAGAACCACCGCCGGAGCCTTTTCTTTCTATTACAGGTTTGCTGAAGCCATCTATTCTGCCGGTGCTCTCCAACTGATTACTAGGCAGACAGTATGGTCAGAAAATTACCCACACATATATTGTTGTGAAAATTCCAAGGGATTTGGCTGTTAGTAATTTTTTATAATAATACTAGAAAAATATATAAGATAAATTAAATAGAAATGACAAAATAATTTTTTTTTTAATTAAAGAATGAAATACAGTAAAAACTACAAAACTAAAAATATAGAAATCATTAAACATATTACAAGATGGATCCACATAGACATACAAAATAATATACAAGAAATAGTTTATATCTAAAAGTTTGAAGAACAAAAGATAAGAGATGCAAACCAAAACTTATGGTGCCGTTTGGTAACACTAACGTTTTCAATTTTTTGTTTATATTTACAAAAATTTAAAAAACTCAAATAAAAACTTGTTTGGTAAAATTTTTGATTTATAAATCAGTGGTCTCAGTTTATAAATTTGGCCAAAAAATGTAATCTCAAAAAATGTGTTTCCGTTTTGAATTTTTAGTTTTTTTTTTTTTACCACCCAACAACCATCCACAACTCGCCACCATTTTCCACTACGTCTTTCGCCACCACCACCCACCACCCACCCCCCACCACCTGCCACCAACACTCACCACCCACCTGCCACTCACTCGCCACCACCACCACCACCACCACCTACCTACCTACCATTCACCCGCCACCACTCACTACCTGCTACCCACCACTACCATCCAACGCCCGCCACCACCACCCGCCACCTACTTGCCACCACCACTCACCACCACCTGCACACCATCCACCACCGGCCATCACCACCACCTACCACCTACCACCCGCCACTGTCACCCACCCACCCACTACCACCACCACCACCACCACCATCACCCGCCACCTGCCACCACCACCCACCCTCGCCACCACCACCACCCACCACCCACCTGCCATCCACCCGTCACCACCCACCACCCGCCACTACTATCCACCGCTTGCCACCACTACTCACCACCCACCTACCACCACCATTCACTACCTCCCACCCTGCCATCACCACCCCCCACCCACCACCACCACTACCACCCACTCGCTACCACTCGCCACCGTCACCTACTCACCCACCCACCACTACTACCACCCGCCATCCGCCATCCGCCACCCACCACCACCACCACCCACTCGCTACCACCCGCCACCGTCACCCATCCACCCACCACCATCACCCACCCACTACCCACCGTCACCACTTTCTACCATCGTCTTTCGCTGCCACTTGCCACCACTTACTATTTCTCACTTTTTTTTATATTTTTAAATTTTTTTAAACATTTTGTCAATTACCAAACGTGTTTGTAGTTTATGTTTTTCAAAAAATAAACAAAAATCAGTTTATAAAATTTTTGTAAATATAAACTGAAAACGTAAACGTTACCAAACAGATGATACCATAGTTTTCTTAAAATTGATTTACTGCCTCCCGATGGGAATTAGAGGTACGCTGGCATCTGTCTCTTATGATACGATGGTCGAAACCAACTCATGCAGAAGGACTTTCTAAATAGTTTCGGCGAACTTGACAAGGATAGCACTCTCTCTCTGACAAGAACCAAAAAATGGGTAAGCAAAAAGAAGATAGGCAAAATTTTCATTGGTATAAAAACCATGTCCAACTTTATTATCTCAAAATACCATCTCATTTTTCATCACAAAAAAATCTCTAAAAACAACCTACTAAGTTAGAGGGGAAAGGTCTTTATTTACACTAGTAGGAGAGAGCTTTAGCCAAGAAGGCTAACATCAATAGGGTTATCAAATTACCATTAATCAAGGCTATCAACCCTAGGCATTAGGGCTACAATTACAAAGATTAAAAATTTATGGCCACTAATATGGTCATCAACTCCATCATCAAAGAAAGAGAGTTAGAAAAGTCTAAACATCACATGTGCATAATATATACAAATGAATATGTATATAATGATATTTGAATAAACCAACTAAATGGGTCGCAAAGTAGATATAGATGTTGGTCACAATCTAATCCAAGCCCAATCTCAAACACATGCATAAATTAAGCCTAACACAACTCAGTGCAGTCCAAGCCCAAGACGAAGTTCAAGTCCAAGACTAAGACCAAACCCAGTACATGCACAAGTGCAAACTTAGGCCCAGTCCAAACCAAGACTAAGTCCAAATCTAAGCTCAACTTTTATTGATGCTCATTTTATGAGACAATTCTCATTCACAATTCAATGGTTTCGGCTCATTATTTTTATATGTAATCTTTTCACTTGAGAGAATATAACCCCACTTAGACCCACCTCAACCGGCGGTTGGGTTTCACTTTAATTTCAAATTAAAGCTCCTGAAAAAAAAATTATTTTCTAGCATTGGCTTAGTGGATGGAGAAAGCAACCATAGGGTTTATCATCTAAGAGGCTGCAAGTTCAAAACCCACAAAAGCCAAACATTCCAAACCTTAGAGACACCAAAGGCTTATTCAATTGTTAACTTCAGGATCCCAGGATTTAGTCGAGGTGCCTATAAGCTGGCTCGAACACCCGATTATCAAAAAAATATATATACTATTTTGAAATTTGTCAAGGTCTGTTCAAGTTAACTTTGACACTCGATTATAAATACAAAAAAAAAATAATGATCCCAAACCCAATCTCGTTTATAGTTTTCTCAACTATCCTAGTTTCCAAACACAAATCAAAATTCTTGACATAAAATAGTTAAAAGGGCTTCATTTTCTGTGTTTCTTTTTTTGATTTGTTAACACATGTAACAAATTTTTATTTTTATTTTTTTTGTGATTGGTCTTTGGGTTAGGTTAACAATGCTGGAACATCAATAGCAAAAGAAGCAGCAGAATTCACTGTTGAAGATTACAACATTGTGATGGGTACCAATTTTGAGGCTTCTTATCATCTATGTCAACTTGCACATCCCCTCTTGAAGGCATCAGGAAAGGGAAGCATTGTGTTCAACTCTTCTGTTGCTGGTGTGATCAGTCTGCCACGAATTTCTATCTATGCAGCTTCTAAAGGTAATGATTTTACTGTGCTTTTTGCCAAGGTCAGCAAATTACATAATTAAACAGCTTGAATTTAAAATATATATATATATATATATAACATCAAAATATCATGTAATTTTTTATTTTATTTTAAACACACTCTGAAACCACGTTGTTTTGGACATTGTGTTATTTTAGTCTCTATAATTTCTTTTAGCTCAATTGACCCTAAATTTATGACTTTGTGTTTTATTTTGGTCCAATTGATTACAATTCTTAACAATTTTTTTTATGAAAAATGAGAAAAAAGTGTCATTTGTCATATTTTTATGGGTAAAATTATAAATTTACTCAATTCAGTGAGTTGAGCTCAACTAATTTAGTGATAATTTTTCTTAAAAAATACTAACGGTATTATCAATTTGACCTAATCGATACAAAATCTTAAATTAAGGATCAAAATTGAGCCAATTGAAGGTGTAAGGATCAAAATAACACAAGAAATAAAATATAGGGACTACCGGTATAATTTGCTCAAAAAAAAAGGGGCAAATTATGCAAATAGTCTCTATAGTTTACATATTGTGTCATTTTGGTCCCTCTAATTTCAATTTGCTCAATTTTGACCTTAAATTTTGAAGTTTGTATCATTTTGGTCCAATTGAAAATGAAAATTAAGAAATTGGACGGAAAATTTGTACGTGAATGACATGTGATTGGTTTCCAAGGGTACAATAGACATTTTGCTTTCCATTTCCCTTTCAGCTTCTTCCTACGCTTCTCTCTCTGCCTCTCTATATCTCTCTCTCTCTTAAAACCCTAGCAGCACCATTGCCTTGAAGAAGTCGAGACCGAGCACCGATGCTTTCTTCCATGGCGACAACGGCGGGTGATGGAACCTCGCAGGGTCCAGGACCACCACCTCCGCCACTCCTCTTCCTTTTCTCTCACGCTTTCTTCGATTGTCTCTCTCTACTCTCTGTCACTAGCGTCGGCTCCCATTGACACTTCCGGAGCCATCTCACCCTTCGCTCGTCGATGGTTTCACCTTTAGAAGAGCCACCGACCACCATGGTCTACCGTTCCACTACCTTTCATCTGTTTGAGTGAATGAATGTGTTAGTAATGGGCGCCCATGTGGCATGACCATTTGAATTTGAATTAGAATCTTATCCAAATAGGTTTTGAAATTGAATTCAAACCTATTTAGGATAACCACTCTGGATATAGATATTATCTCCATTAACTAATATGGATAGATAATAATATTATATTATATATCTGGTATATGGGTTATGGGTGATTATGAGAGAAACAACGTATGATCTGAGTTTTACCCATATACTGACTCTCTCCCAAAAGAACAACGATCAAGTCATTTGCACTGTGATTTGTGTGGGTGATATTCAATCTGTGATATCACTTCACTGCTGGGTTGGTTTATCAGACTCTGGAAGCACGTGATTTACCCACGAGGTTCTATCATCTAAAGGTATGATCTAAATATTTTTCCGCTGCATGTTTTGTGTTTTGATTTACATTGGTATCAGAGCCATGTATGGGTATTTTCGTGCTTTCTTTTATCATGTGTATATTTATAAAAGAGGTAGAGATCCAAAATATTTCATTTTTACGATCATTAATGTCTTTTTTAAGACCATAAATGATTTTATTTTGGAAAAAGGAGTCCGGCAGTACAAAAATCGGACCAGAAAACACACTGGAAGGCGGCGCGTGCAGACCACGCGCCACCTGACGTCGTGAGCCGTTTTCCACGCGTCCCACGCGCAGCCACGCGCTCCCACATGTCGGATGCCCTGCTGACGCACCTGCACGCGCCATCACGCGCGCGTCAGCGGCGCTGTCCACGCGCACGCCGTCCGCGCCTCGCACGCGCGCCGCGTGCTGGAGCCGAGCGCCGAGCCGCGTTTGAGCCGTGCGTCGAGCCGCTCCGAGCCGGTGCTGAGCCGCGCCGTTTTCCTTCGGCGGCTTGGCTGGCTTGGCTGCTTATGCCTAAGGCTCTGTTTATTTGTTTTTAATTCTGAATTGCGTTAATTGGCCATAATTTATTCGTTATAACTTTGTTTTAAGCATGGTTGGTACCGTTAGACTCAGAATTAATTTTTAAAATAAAAAATATTTTTCCTGAAATAATAATTCATTATTTCTGGTTTAAAATGCATCTGGTGTTGCATGAATAATTTTCTGGGGTTGAAATTTTTATTGTGGGCTTCTGAAATGTTTTAATATCTACTGGTAATATTTTCTCATTTTATCAGTTTCTGGATTTTTTATTTCTAATTTTATGTGTGTTTATTAGTTATTTAAAATTCCAGAAAATACCAGAAAATTTCAGGATGATGTACTTTCTGTTATGGCATAATTTAAATATTGAATACAGCATATTTTTTTGGGTTTGTAATATGTATGTTGTAATTAGAAGAGCATGTTTATTTATTTATTTATTAGAATTCCATTATTAAATGATATAGCATGAGTTATTTGTAAATTTACATTAAGATGCTATTGTATGGAATTTATCATGCTTTGTATATGCCATAGTCAGTGGGAGGTTATTCGGTTGAGAGAAATCTTTGTAGATTAACTCCCGAAAACCAATATTTTGCGCATAAATTAAACTAAATTTTGGATAATTGTCACTTGTGGCGCAAGAGATGATTACGAGCATAGCGGATTTTCGATCTTGCGACTTGTGTAATATTGTCACTATTTAATTTAGATTTTTGCGGCAAAATTATATTATGCTAATCAAATTAATCCCAATGCGAATTTCTCTCTAAATTGATGTAGCTTATGGAAGTTAATTTGGTTGACCTAGACTTAGTAGAGATGTTCAAATATGTACATTGTAATCCCATTTTTTAGATGAGCAAAAGTCTTGGAGACTTTAGGTCAAGTCTTAATTGAGCCAAAGTAAGGAAACATGATTCAAAGTCACCGTGGTTTTGTTGCCTTGTTTGGCACAATAAAAACTAATGTGTGCGCTATGGTTAGCGGCACGCTACATAGTTTTGGTTGGCGAGTTTTGGAGTTATGAAATTAGTAAGCCCTCAATAGATCTGTATATGATCTTGACTAATGAGCTGCGCGGATTGACTTTGTAATTTGACTTGTAAATAATGTTACATCATTGGATGAAGTAACATTCAAGAATCACGTCATCCAAGAAATGCGAGCTTAAATAAATTAGTCATTAAGTGTAAGACGAGTAGCCAGTATGAGCAGCATTTTGCTCTATACCCAATTATTGGGAGTGGATGGAGCAAAAAATTTCATGCACTATAATAGTGTGCGTTGAAGTATCACTTGAAGATTAAAAGATTAGCGCTTAGTAGCAGCAAAATCTATTAACACTAAGTGAAAAGATTAGCGCCAAGTGGCTGTAAAATCTATTATCATTGCTAGCTTGTCTAAGTCTGGACACTTTGTTTCCACACTCAAGTGTGAGACATGGATGAGGTGCTTCTTTGTGTGATTCCTTTACTAGGCTAACGTTTTGAATAACATTTACCACTAAGCGCAAACGTTGCAGCATAGTAATGAAAAGGTCAAGGCTGATAACGTTGTTATGACTCTAAGAATTTGACGCATCGCTTGTGAGAGCATTGTGTTGAAATTAGACTCTTTAGCCTCATTGTGTTGAAAGAGCCTAGGATAATGCCTAAGGCTCTAGTCCCCTATTTTTAGAAAGTGGATCAATGTTGCGCAGTTTAAGACAAAGTCTTTGAGGATTAACGATTTTTTATAATTTGGTTGACTTTCCATTATGACGCAAAACTGTTATAAAGTTATGCGTAATTTGGATAGTCATTGTTGACGCATAAGGCTCGCTAGATACCGAAAAGTCGCACCATTGAGGAAAGTGTAGACCATGAGAAGACTTCCTCCTGGGGAGTGAGGTTATTTTGACTTAGGCTATGATTGACATAAGTTCAGAACATTGATTTGTGGACATTGTGACCCAACATTCTCGTTAGAGAATTGGATAAGTAGATCCGTAGGGATTTACCTTCCGCTTTTATGGTGAAAAGTTAGGAGCCCAAAAAGGTTGCTAGCTCTAATAAATCTTTTACGGCCTAAAACAGTTATCCAAATAGTGGTTCTTAGATTTCGTCAAGCCATGATAGGCCAACGACGATCGATGAAGACCACTGAGGCATGATCAATGGTCAAAAAGAAGTTTTTCCTTACTTAGTCATTATGAGCCAGGAATTTATAAGGTTGTCGCCACCTAGGGTGGGCAGTCGTCTATTTTAGATATGATGGACATGGGTGATGTAATTTATATGCTCGGATGTATGATCCTTAGGGATTGTTTTAGGAAAATTCTCGGTTTGTCTTTGATGACTTACATAGAGAATATCCTAGAATGATTCTAGATGCAAAATTGCAAATCCATTGACCTACCTATCGGTAAAAGTCAGAGTCTTAGCTATTAAGTGAATCCTCGGATAGTCTTTGGGAGAAACAAATGACCTATATTCCTTGATTTTTTCTTTGTTGTGGGAGCCTAAAGTACGCTATGTGGGCGTATTCGGCATGATAAGTGTTATCTTTGGTAAATGGTCAACTGAGTTGTTTAGACATTGACCTTGCTCATTAGAATATTAATTTGCTCCTTGTACGATTCAATGCGCTAGTTGGGCGCATCAAGAATGAACGCAAATTGGTCACCAAAATATCTTTAGAGAGGTAATTGCGCAAGAAGTAGGGATCTTGAACCACTTCATGTGAGGCGCACATGGTGGATTCCGTTGTATATACTTATCGCAAGAGGTGCTGATAAGGCTTAAATGGGCGCTCATGTGGCATGACCATTTGAACCTTTTGAACCTTATCCATGTAAGTTTGAATTTGAATTCAAAACTTATTTGGATAACCATTCAGGATATCTATATCTATCATATCAACTGATATGGATAGATGAGATATTATCCTATATATCTGATATGATATATGG